TACACTAACTCTGTATTTCGAAATAGAACTAGTAAGAAATTATAACAATAGATATAGAGCACCCTGCGCTTTTACCACAATGGAATTAATTTTCTCGTTATTCATTGTGTATTCTTTTATTAAGAATTACTTTACTACTTTCAGTTCGATTAACTACAAGAATGTATTTTAGTTTAAACGAAACTATAATTTTTCATTTCTTTGCTAGATCTACAATAAAAGCGTTTTTTTAGTTAGACTATCATCTATTTTGTATTTGTATTAACGAAGAGCGCATTTTCACTTTAGGGTTGTAACTTAATCTTTTGATCGCCAAATCTGCAATTGGGAAATTGTTAATCCTGATCAGGACAATGGAACAAAATTATTAAATTATTGTATTATCATCGGTCCTTGATAAGTGTGCGAAATTTCGAATTAATCAGACTTTTTTAAAGTGGGTAAAATTCGCGTTCAAAGATTCCGTTACATACAGGTGAAGCTAATAAAATCGTGTTAAAAAGCTGGACAAATACACGCAAGATAAATATCGGCATTTTCCTAGCGGTTATTTTATGACCGATACTTTTCCTCGAGATTTGAAATGATAGCGTGGAAACGATTTGATAAATAGTTCTACTCATGATTTTATGTTTGACACAGTTTATTTAGAATCGGCTCTTGCGCCATAAATCCAAACACTTACTCACTCTGGTCATGATTTTAAAACACTGAACTGACTCCTGCTCGTTTTCTTTCTTGTTAAAGGGTATTCTGGGAAATTAAATCTTTTCGGATTTATATGCGGTCGTTAAATATTGAAAGAATGTATACTCACACACACACACACACACACATATATCTAGGGAACCTATTTCTCATTTCCTAGTATTAAGACTGTGATTTTTGCATGGAACAAATTCTATCTGTTATCCGATCTCGGTATAAAGTGACTAGCTTGGTAACGAGACATCAAAGCAACGCTAACTATTATCAATAATGAACTATTCGTTATTAAGAGCAGTCAGTCGGGTAAAAGCCTTTGGGAAATCGATGTTGAGTTTTTGATGTTTTTAAAATCTCCGAATCAGGAACTTTCCAATGATATAACATACTAGCCATTTTATGAATTAGAAGTATTTTAAAATTACTATTAAAAATCATCACCTGGCGACCACACCCACTTTGACAGATAAAATTGACAATATTGGCTATTTAATCTGTTGCAAAGCCTCTATCTTTTTCATTTATTAAACGCCATTAACTTTTAAATGCAAGCTTAATTGTGTTAGGTTTTGGAGGGAACTTTATAGCTTATAGTTCGAAGTGATTCGATTATAGAGTGTGATTCGAAATTTAATCATTAACAAAAAGAAAATTAAACATAAAATTTGTAGATAAACAAATTGATTACATGATTTTTTGAAGCTTTTTTTTGAAAAGGTAAGAATTTTTATAAAATTTACTGTTTTCTAAGAATTTTATTTTACCTAAACCTACTTACTGCATGCATGGATATTTACTTGTGTATTTTGAATTGAAATTTTTAAAAAATTTCTAAACCATTTAGCTAGAAAATTCATGTCATAACCAAAAATAAATTACAATTTTTATGAAATCCATAATTATGTTTTACAAAAATTATTTAAAAAAAAAGAAACTGAACAAATAATTTTTAAAATTTCACTGAAGTATAAAGATAAAGGTGTATTCAATATGTAGACAAAATCTTGAGTCTTAATGTTTAATAGTTCCTGAGAAAAAGTTAAAAAAGACATTGTCGTTATCGTTGCGAGAAGTTTGTTACGTACATAAAAAAATAAATGAGAGAGAGAATTTCGGATTTAAAAACAAACAAAAACCCAGTCTTGTGGCTGTTTTAGAAATCACTTGTCTAAAATATAGAGAAACTTGAATTCTGATACTTTAGGAAGTTGTGAGAGTTTATTAACATTCAAATCCATAATGAAAACTTTGAAATATCGTATAATCGCATGTTCCCAATTCATTACTTTCACATATTGATACATTATCACAAGGCATTCAAGATGTTCTATGGTTAACTTTGATGTAAGTAATGCATCCCAAAACTAAAAATTCGTTCAAGATCGACACAGAATTTGTGGAAAATCATGTAAATTCTCCGACATTTTTAGCTAAAAATCATTTGTCGTAACACAGAAAAAAATGACAATTTTTATTAAATTGTGCGGAACAAGTTACCGGAAAATATCATTTATCGCACTTGTTTGGCGCAATTTTTTTAGTATAATTCTAGGGTGGGTGATACTAAAGCTATACCTTTTTTAAATATTCCTCAGACATTTTTAGCTAAAATGCAGATTTCATAACACAAAAAATGACAATTTGATAAATTATGAAAACGGACAAGAAACCAGATTCTTTGAGAGCGGGTAAAAATACGCAGGGATCCAATTTTCCAACAAATTATTAAAGCATTTTCTTAAAATAGATATCAGTTAAGAAAGGAGTATAAAATTCCAAAAAGGCTTCAATCATGTATAGCTGGTTATCGTGACATTTACAAGCAACTGACCACCCGACCTTCAACCAAAAACTTACATCTTACTTTGTTGCCAAAAAGTAAATCAATTGAAATTGTACAGTCAAGTGACGAAAGCGATATTGAACTTATTCATTACAGGGCTTTGGATTACGATGAGTAGCAATGAACTATTTATGTGCATTTTGAAAACGTATCCGTGTATACAATGAGAATCTATGTTTTTAAAATGTTTCCATGTGTAATATTTAATTATTTATTTTGTCATGGAAGTATTCTTACATACATTTCTCTCGTAAATAATTGGCACATTTTATAAATGCGACTTTTTTTATGCGCTGCCTATCCACCGCATAAAAATTTTTTTTTGGAATATCTCCACGAATTAGTTCATTATATGTAAGAACTTATTAAATTTTTGAATTTTTTTCGTGCGTTTTCTTATGCGGTTCCTATCTAACGCACAAACACAGGTTCAACTGTATATAACTTAGAAGTGGTTTATTTATATTTTACTACAACAGAGGACAGAAATTTCAAGAAAAAAAACGCCGATAATTATTTCAATTGGTGGTAACTCTGAAAATAATGTGAATTTTTCAGAAACTCTAGTTCAAACTCTCTGGAGAGAGAAGTTTTTACTTTATATATGCAAAATATTATTATAACAGAAGCCTTTTTTATAAAAGGAGAACGTTTTGAAAAATGGTTATTCTAAGCTAATTTAAGAAAGTATTACTCAAGTTTTGATAATTTATTGATTAAATATTAGAGATTTTAATTTCCTCAATTCACGCAAGATGTTAAAATAATGTCTCTTTGAGGTCATTTACCTGATCTAAGTAAGTAATTTGATCAAATCCTTGAACTATTTTAGTGAAATGATGAAATGAACAAGTCAGCATTTGTAGAGCTCTGTTTTCGTTTGTTACCACTCCCTTTTATCTCCTCCCTCTCTTCGTCCGTGTCATGCAGCGCCGGGCTTCTGACATAACGCACCAGAATAAAATGGCCTTAATATCATTTTTCAGTTTTACTTAGTTATATTCTTTGCATTTTTATCTTTCGATTGATATATCACTTTTGTATTCCTGAAAATTAGAAACTGGATAAAACTTAAATTGAAAAATGTTAGCAAACAAATTAGGGAAGTCGACCACGCTCTCTTTAGAGATAAAAAAGCTATTTTAAAAAGGGAAATATAATAACTGAAAAAAGGTGTTACAAATAAAGCAGGATATTTCTGAAGTACTACATTAATGTATAATTAAAAAAAATGTTTAAAATTCTACTACAAATATTCTTTTTTAAAAAAATATGACAGCTTTATTGTTTAATAATTTTGTCAATTTCGAAAAATAACTTGTTTTTCAATGATTATTGTTGTATTAATTACTCTACTTTTAATAAGGCACCATATTTGCTAAATAAACACTCATCAAACCTTTGATGATTTGATCAAACCACTTTCTTTCCTTAGGGAAATCATCTTACAGAGTTCTTATTTTAACATCTTACGTGAATTCATCATCTCCCTCAGGGATTTGAGTAAATTCCTAATTTAATCATTTCCCTGCAACATAAATACCTCTAATATTGGTGAACTCTAAATATCTTGATTATTTTTAAAATAAAGAAATGTATGTACTGTTTTATATCTTTCTTATGCAATATACTTCTTTAAGCATACTAAAAAATAATGATAATCGGAATCATTAGGCCTAACTATATGTTTGAAATATAAATTTTCTAAGCACTTTCCTAGAATATAATCCTAAATTGAATCATACGTAAAGTAAACTAACCATTACTTTTCTTGCATATTTATTTACAAGGAGATAGAAAGAAACATTCTTATTTTTCGAATGATGTATCCATCTCATGAAACAATGCAACTTTATCATACTTAGTAAATCTAAATGAGTTTATATGTTTGCACATTATATATTTTAGTTTTTTTTATTTAACTGTTAAAATGGATCAATGTCAAAAATCAATAAAAATGGCAGCTATTTTGCATATTATTTTGAAAAATATGCATTTCATTTTTTTTATTTCATGAGTGCTTTGTGATCATTAGAAATATTTTTGGCCGAAAAGGCAAATCAATGCTTCCAATCATATGAATTACTTTTAGAAATTATAGTGCTATATAATCTTTGTATAATTTTATACTAAATTGATATGAATCTAAACAAGTAACATAAAAAATTAAAAATAAATTTAAGTCAATTCCTACTTAGGTCAACAAAGAAAATTTTTATTTTAGTTACTTTTTATTAAATAGTTACAATTAATATAAATATATGTATATACATATGACGGAATCACTATATTACATAACAAATTAGAAAGCGATTTTCCTTGCAATTTTCCTTTCTATATATGATGTTGGACTATTTTTGTTTGTTTGTTAATATTTACTCTTTAATATTAAATATAATTATTCTAATAAAATAGTATAGTAAATAAGAAATCACATTCACAGAAATTAGGCCATCCCAGGTGAGTTTTGAACCCACGATTCTTGGTTTAGAAGTCCAACACGCTAAAATTTGCGCTACAAGGACACAACGAAAAACACAACGATTAAATCAAGTTGATTTGTATGCATGGAAGACTGTTCATTGCATTACACTTCAACCACGCCATCGTCGAAAGAGATTACGCTGGTGTAAAGAACATGTTGGTTGGGATTACCAAAAATGGTCTACATTGATGTTCTCCGACGAATCTGGCCACCAATTACAGTGGAGAGAGCGTGGAACACGCGCTATGAACAAAAGTTTGTTTGTGAAAATGATCGGTACGGTCCAGATGTAATGGTGGGGTTACGCATCATGCACAATGACAGAACACCACTTCTCATCTTTGATAGAGGAAGCGTTTCATCGCAACGGTATTGCAGAGAAAGTATTCTAGATCATGTTCATATTTATAGGGGTGTTGAAAATCCAGACTTTCTGTTTATTGACGATAATATGCGGCCACACAGAAGCGTTAAGGTAACAAAAACACTGTAAAGTTAAAATATTATCCTTATACGATGACCTGCTCACTCTCCCGAAGTAATTCCTATTGAGAATGCCTCGGATGTTCTAGGCAGACGTGTTGCACAAAGAACCATTCCTTCCCCGTTCAGTGCAAGAGGTTAAAACCACCTTGAGAGAGGAGTGAGACAGTATCCCAAAGCATTCCTCGATAGTTTAGTGCTCGAGTCAGCGTTCAAAACACATCTTACTAAGGTACTCAAGTCTGCATCATTCTGACCTGAAAATCAATATTTTTGTCGCTGTTTGGAAATAATCCAAGTAGCATCTATTACATAGTTTGACATACTTATAGGCTTTAATGGAGCAAGAGTCAATTTCGGCCAAGGAATTTGTTTATGCATTAAAAGTATAAAATCATTACAAGTTTTATAAAATGAGTTTTATTAAAAAAAATGTAACATCTCTCTCAAAATAAGTATAAAGAGTCAGTTCTAAAAATAAAAGTAAACAGATTTTGGTAGGGATTTCCCCTACCAAGTCCAATAAGTATAATTAAAAAATGTCACTTCCTGTGTTTGGTCGGGGATTTAAATAGCGTTTTTCCACTACTTCTTCGATGTCATATACAAGCATGCCCTCGTCTGACGTGTCCTGTAAAGGTGTTCTTTTTCTGGGTTCATGCGGTGTCATCTGTATTTCTATTTTTGGTTTAAAAGGTTGTAGTTGTTGGTTAATATTTCTGTTAGGATGCTTTTTCCTGCAAGTTTTTGAAGTTTTTTTGAAGCCTCGGGGATATAGAGGGGTCTGATTACTTAAATAGATTAAACATTATTTGATCATTGTATTATAATTATTATATTATCTATGTCTGTATACAAGAAAAATAATGAAAACATTAATAATTGTTCATTCGGTTTTAAATTTTCATTTTAATAAAGGTTTCTAATCGTTCCAAATATAGTACAAAGATATACGTTTTATATGTGGCCCGCGGGAATATAATGTATTTTTAAAGTGGCCCACAAGGTCATTTGAATTGGCCACCCCTGGTGTAGAGGGGCTTGATCGAGTCCCACTACCCTTGGTGGGGTTGCTAAGGTATCCGACTACTTGCGACAACTTATTTTTTAAAATATGTAAAGATGGAAATTTTTTTGTGTCATTGTTTGTTTTAAAATTTATTTAACTCATTTTAAGGGGGAAAAAAGCTAAAATTAAGAAGAGAAAAATAAATTATTACTACTAAAATGGGAAAAAATGGGTTAAAAATTGACAAAAAATTACGTAAACGATGCTCGTTCTGTACAAATAGTAAATGAACAAATTCTCAATTTTTCAATTTTGATGCATTATTTTGGCATTTCTTTTTGAAATGACCTTCCTGACAAGAGATATTTTAATTTTTACAAAAACCAAAACCCCTTATCTTAATTGTTATATGAAATTGCTTTAAAAAACAGTGATTATATTCACATTAGGAACTGCAAATTTTATAACAAAACAGTAATTGATAAATTTGAAGGTTAAAACACTTTTACTGTTATACAAAACATACGCAAGAAATTTCAGCAAATTAATTTAAAAACTTTTTGAGCAATCTCTGTACCCATTTGAGCTTTTCGAAAAAAACACATTTCGAGTAAAGCGCATTTTTAAGTTTGACATCTTATGTAAACTTATAGTATCCGCAGTGTGTTACTAAAACACTTGTAGTTTTTGTTCTAGAGAATGGAAAATAAAATACTTGACTTTATTTTATAGCTAATAAGATGGCCTATAAAATAAAGTCATAAAAAATTTGTCAATTTTTTTAAAAAAATTATCGTTCTAGGGTAGTCGGATATCTTAAGAGATGGAGGGACCAGCTCAAGTGCTCGGTAGCATGACCGAGGTTCAAAATTAAGAGGTCACGTCACCAATAGCCCTCATGTTGCTGTAGAATGCGATGTTAATGTAATTCTCTTTCGGGGATCAAACAGCAACTCTGAGTAAATCAGTTCCCTAAAAAGCTTTTTTATCTTGAATCATGTTATTTCAAAACTGTATAAATAGGGGTAGAGGTATAAAAAAATTAGGGGGTAGAGTATACAAAACTGTATAAATAGGGCTTATAAGAAACATTTCCCCCAGTTTATTTATATTTCTAATTCATTTGCTAGGGAGTATAATTTCATGGAAACATGACAGATAATTGAAAGATTTTGTGTGTGACTTGTTTATTTTGAAAGTTTGCTCTTTTTATTTTATAGAACGTTTCTTTATTTCATCACAAAACAAGTTCTGCTGTCCACTAAAATTACACCTCATAATTTTGAACCTCGATCTGATGACGAGTTCGACATCTGAGTTGGTACTCTGCAATTCTTATCCACGCCAACACATGGACTTGAGGCCTCGTCATATTTAGTACGCATCTATAGACCCTACTAGACAATGGGTCTTTTAATAGGATTAGAAACTCTATTATGCGTTTCGACTGAAATATTGCCACCCGTGACATAAGTTGCAATCTTCCATTGTCAATAGTGGCCGCAGTTGCCTGGTGGTCAAAGTAACGGACTCATAATTGGAGTGCCATGAGTTCTAGTTCTTTTACCGCTGAAAACCCGTGGTGCAGGGGGGTTCGATGCACGCTTAATAGGTCGAGCCCTATACCACTAAAGACCCACAGTGTAGGGGAGTGATGCACGTTAAATCTGTCGAGAGCCCAATCGTTCTCCCGCTAGTGTGGTTGGTAAGTTAGGAGAAGGGTGCCAGCTCAGGTGACGTCCTCGTCACTTATGGCTTAAAATTACGAGGTCCATCGCCAAAAACTCTCGAGCAGCTGAATAGTGCAACGTTAATATTTATTCTCTCACTCCGATGTCAATACCTGAAGACCAACTTTGGCCACGGTAGAGTAGTGGTTACGGTCATGAACCTGTGTTTCGAGTCCTGGTGCCACTCAGGACCTGACGTGTAGATGTTCAAGGCCTTCCCATTGGCGTGGTATTATAGTATGGTAAAATCTCACATTGTGCCCTCATCATTTCAACGTGGATCAAAATTACAAGGTCCATCGCCAACAGCCCTTGTGTTGCTTCAGGACACGATACAAATTTAAATTAAATACGACAACCAATAATAACGATGAGACTTTAGTAAATTAAAATAGAATAAAATTCGTTGCTCTAAGCTTAATATTGACTGAGTTAGTGCTTATTAACCTCGCTTTGTTTATGCTACTCTAGGGCTGTTGACGAGTCGAGTAAATACTAACGTCGCACTGTTCATCTATACGAGGTCTTTTGGCGGCGGACCTTGTAATTTTGAACCATGGTCAAGTGACGAGGACGATACATGAGCTGGCACCCGTCTCTCCTAACTACCACACCACACTAGCGGGAGGACGTTTCAGATCCATCACTGATAGACGCGTTAATGCAAACCGATCACTAAACCAATTTATTTCAAATAAAGGTACCATAATGAGAATGATCATAAAATTTTGACTCATTCTTTTATACGCCTCTCTTCGTAAGGATTTAGAGAAATAATGTGTGTTACTGCTCAGCCCCTTTCCCAACTGAACTCAAATCTGATCGTTTACGAACATGTCGACTATTTTCATATTTTTTTGAGTCCGACTACTCTTGGGTGGGTTTTAATTTACTTCATAGTGTAAAGTAACACGAGGGCTAGAGAGTGAGTTAGTGAATAAATATTAACGTTGAACTCTACAGCTACTCGAGGGCTTTTGGCAACAGACCTCGTAAATTTGAACAATGGTCAAGTGAAGAGAACGACATCTGAGCTGGTATCCCGTCTCCTAACTACCACACCGTGTGAATAGGGGGACATTTGAGCTCTCGACAAATTTAAGCTGCATCACTTCCCTATACTGATCATCAGAGGTCCTTGGCTCGAACTCATGACACGTCGTTCACGAGTCCATTACCTTGATCATTAGACTACCGTAGTCCGAAGGTTTGAGGAGACAAATCACGTCTAATTTTGAATCACGGTCAAAGGACAAGAATTATACTTAAGCTATATACATAGTACCACTTCAATATCCAAACTTTTAAACTACCTCAGAGTGAGGTCTCCCCAGCCTGGACGGATTTAACTTGCATCAGCCCCTATTCGAGTCCTGGAACCATTGAAGGCGGGTCTTCAATGGCACCAGGACTCGTGCCCTGGACTTGACAATGCCGGCCACGAATATGGCCACGGTTATATAGGAATAATGATGTCGTTATATAATTTATTATGATCCAATTTATTCCACATAAAAGTCTTTCATGATAAAAAGAGAAAGTCTAATACAAGGGAAATGAGTGGCTTTCGGGGGACAAGAGAAAATAAGCCACATATGAATATTAATTATAGGTGGCGCTCCATGTAAGTGTAACTAAAACAAGCAATTACGTATGTTTTCCCTGCCTTACTTTAAAAGAGGTAGTTGAATGGCTTAAGTTTAACACCAATGTTGTTACCTCTACTCCAACAACCAGTACTTCCCGCCAACATCCTCAAGACCTCTCCCGCTGAAGCCATCCACCTGCCTTACCCTAACATCCAATGAAATCTTCATC